AGTAACTCTTGTTTGCATCTGATATTCATTCTTTAGTCCTGAACGTAATCCAAATAATCCATTTTGATGTGTATTATGGTTCTGAAGAAATTACTTTGATTCGACCAATTTAGAAGTATTTATTATCATTTCAGTAAATAATTTAGGTTTGAGCATCTTTATCTCATATGCAGGTGAAGAAAACCAATCTAATGGCAAACAATCTTGTGGATTCCAAGATGAAGGTAAAATTATAACAGAGGTTCCAGCTACAGATAATCAGAAAAGAAAAAGAGGGAAAGGATCAAAAAAATCTTCAGAGTGCAACAAAAAGAATTCTGGATCAAATCTTATTAGACCCTCCTTTCCAACAAAGAAGAGAGTGCAGGTGCCACAATATCCACCTTCAGAGACTCCGCCACCTACAAAGTTGGTTGGTGGGAATGGTAAATCCGTCACCAATGAAGCTCAGAAACCTTTGCTGATTGAGAAAGACAGGTCCATTCTAAACAAAAAAGGAGAACCAATACTATCTCCATTCTTCTGGCTGAGAGAAGAAGAGGATGTAGAAAGGTCAAGTCAGCAAACAGATGGAGACATTATCATGGATACACCTCCACTTATTCCATGCTTCAGTGATATAAAGGACATGGATGATGAGGTCCACTGTGAAATATCTCCAAAAGTAAGTAACATGATATCCAATTTATACCAAGAAACAACTGCTTCAGCTCCAGAATAAAGTGTACCCTTAAATAGAAAATTGATAAGATTGGATTGTTTGGTCTGATCTAAATGCCAGATAAGCTTTAACATTACACTCTGATTTATCCCGTTGGATGAGAGAGAGGAATGCTTCCTAGTCTACTTTTTTTTTAGGTATTTCTTTTTTCAGCTTCCTTACAGTACATAAAAATGTATATAGAAACCTCAAGTTTTTGGATATCCTCCTTTCTTACCCTTCAACTTAGCTTTTGTGTTTTGTGATCCGGAGTCGAGCTTAATGATGATCTTGTTCATGTTCACACTTTCTGTGTATTTATTGAAGAAGTTTCATTAGTTTTCCCACTTTCTTGCTATGCAGAGTGGAACTCATAATGCAGCAAATGGAGTAGATCTTTTTGACAGTGAGATGTTCGACTGGACACAGAGAGCTTGCTCTCCTGAACTTTGTTCGAGCCCCTACAAGACGAAGGTATTTCTTTGTGGTACATTAATGCCAAGGGAGTCAGAACTGTTTTCCTCTTTCTCATTCTCTAAACTTGTTTAGTTTCTAATTTATTTCTCTTTTGCTGGTTTAGATTAAAGATACTGAGTGTGCTGCAGCTCATGAGAAGACTCGAGCACCCTCACTAAAAAGGCATAGTGTGGAATCAGCAACTCAGGACAGAACAGCTGTGGTAAATGAAGAGGGTACTGATAAAGAACAACTGAAGTCGCACTCTTTATTTCCTCTTGAAAATGAAATCACTGGTACCAAAGGTGTCGTTTGCAAGTCTAGCAAGAATAAGGCACTTAGATGCAATAAGAAGAAACAAGGCAAGAAAATAATTGGTGAAGTATCAGAAGTCCATAATAACTTACAAAAAGCAGCTGAACAAACTATGAAGAACAATCAGGAAGATGCCTATGCACTTAACTCAAAGAAGAAAGATTTGAAAAACAAGAAAAAGGGTAGTTCCGCTACAAATGTCATAGGGTCAACAATAGAAGACAGTTCCACTTCATGTCGTGCTAAAAGACTCCGCAAGAGCAGTCAGTCCAAGTCCTTTGATTTGTCTACTCTTGGGGATCAGGAAAAACACAGTGAAGGAAGCTTTGAGACACTTGACTTGAAGACATGTCATAAATGGAACCAGGGATCTATGGGTGAACAAAATAAAATTCGTTCTAGACCAAAGAGCAGACAGAGAACTGCTAAAGATAACATTACACAAACCCAAGATGAAGTTTTGCATTTGGAATCAGCAAATAGATTGCTTCCCATGGATAATGATGGGGAAGCTACTCCTTCTGGTACACTAATGAAGAAACGTGAGCTTGAGTGTGATGACAAGCTTCATGGTAAGAAAAAGGTGAAGTTTTCTGAAGATGAGCAGCTTGCTGACAAGGAAAATATTACACTTGAAAAGATTCAGAAGAGAGTGCATAAATCATTGGAAACAGAGAAATCTGTTTTGGACGTGAATGGATTGGTTTTGCGGAAGTGTGAGGCAAGCCGCAACAAGATCCAGTGTGCTTTCTGCCGTTCAGCAGAGGAATCTGAGGTATAAGTCATTGATTGTGTTTCTCTTTTCTGGTTCCTCCTATTTATTCTTGGAATTGTTTGCCTCTTGACTTTGTATATTGATTATATACTTCTTTTTTTCATAACCAAATCTCAGGTTTCAGGAGTCATGATAAGCTACCTTAATGGAAAGCCTGTCAAAGAAGATGTCAATGGAGTATCTGGTGTTATACATGTGCATAAGCATTGTGCAGAATGGTAATAGTCCTCTCTTTATAATTCCTTCATATAAAAGTGGTATAGTAACTCATAAATAATCTCTAATGCATCAGAAAATTCTTGGTTTTCTAGATAATTTCATCACCAGTGTCACAAATGTCAAGTTTAAGGAAGTGTATTTTTCTTATTTAAGATAAAACAGAAGTGTATATTTCTTATCTACATCTATTGTGTTCAATGTATATCAATTTATTATCGAAACTTTTCTTCATTTGTGCATTAAATCATTCTAGACTCGTTGAATCTGTTTCAAGTCAAATCGTTTCTAGTGTGAAAAACAGAAATGCACATCTACAGGGCCCCTAATGTATATTTTGAAGAAGATGATGCGGTCAACCTTGAAGCTGAGCTGAAGAGGAGTCGGAGGATTACTTGTTTTTTCTGTGGAGTAAAAGGGGCAGCTCTTGGGTGTTATGAGACGAGTTGTCGTAAAAGCTTTCATGTTCCTTGTGCCAAGCTGACGCCAGAGTGTCGATGGGATTATGTACGTCTTAAATACGTTCCCTCAGACCTATATTTCATAAAAAAATCAGCATCACTTACTTTATTTTCCTTGTTTCAGGATAACTTTGTTATGTTATGCCCTTTGCATGCCAACTCTAAGCTGCCATGCGAGGCCCCTGGAAAACAGTCCAGGATTAAAGAAAGTATCAAAAGGTTGGATCAACAGATTCTTAGAATTGTTAGCTAAAAAATTTAGATTTTGGCTCAAAGTTCTAATTCCCCTTCTCATTGTCTTTAATCTGCAGAAGTTCTAATATCCACCAGTCTAAAGTCTCAGCAACACCTGATAATACTGCTACTTCGCAGTGGAAGTCTCAGAAGAAGAATAAGAGCTTGGTGCTCTGTTCTTCAGCTCTAACTGCTGATGAAAAAGTGAGTAAACAGAATAATATTTGCAGATGATATTTGTTTGAGATAAATGAGGTTCATTAACTGGTTAACTTAAATTTTCTCCTTACAGGGTCTTGTTTCTTCATTAAAGAGGTTGTCTGGAGTGACAGTAGTCAAGAACTGGGACCTAAGTGTCACCCATGTTATTGCTTCTACAGATGAGAAAGGGACATGCCGAAGAACTCTCAAATACTTGATGGGTGTCTTGGTTGGGAAATGGATATTGAGCATTGACTGTCAGTAACCTTGTTTTCATAACTGTAAATGAATATGTTGAGTTACAAATGTGTTTTCTCTACAGCCTGAGTTTAGCTTCTGTTTGGTCCATCTTGATGTTTGGTTTTTATACTTGCAGGGATTACTGCTTGCTTGGAAGCCACAGAATTTGTCGATGAGCAGCAATACGAGATTAAACTAGATGCTCACGGCATTGCGGATGGCCCTAAGCTTGGAAGATTGCGAATATTAAACAAGGTTACATCTTTCTTTCAGATTTATCATTAATAACAAACTAATCTGGTCCATTTCATTTCCTGGGGTATGGTGGCAGTTTAGAGCAATGTTTAAGTCCTTTTGTGGATAAAGCACTCTTTTAGGTTCTATGTATTCCCATTCCAGAAAGAGAATGGAACTTCAACTAGAATGTTTATAGCGTTAAGAATGTCATTTTAATTCCTTGACCCCCCCCTCCCCCCCTCAATTTCTGGACATCATTGATGTCAGATTCTGGAAGGATGAACTTAAATCTCAACCTTCACTTCCCTCTGTTCTACTGGTTGCTTATGGAGTAGGTCTCACTGCATTTTCATCTTCTGCTGGCTGTACTTACAAATTTCCTGCTTTAGCTAAGATAATCTTTAGGATGGACATTTCATCATTTGCATTAAAATCCTCTTATGTATTCTTTAAATGCCAAAATTCCTGTTTTGCAGCAACCTAAGCTTTTCAATGGATACGAGTTTTTTTTTGTGGGCGACTTTTCACCTTCCTACAAGAGCTATCTACATGACCTTGTTATTGCTGCTGGAGGAATTGTCCTCAACAGGAAGCCTGTAACAGTGAATCAGGAAGTTCCTTCACCTGGATGCCTTCCACCTTTTGTAATTTATAGTCACGAGCAACTTGATAAGTCTGAAGTAACAGAAAAAAAGCGATCTGATGCAGAAGCTTTGGCTAGTTCCACCGGAGCTGTAGTGGCCAGCAGCACTTGGATTCTGAACTGCATTGCTGGCTCCAAGTTGCTGGAGCTGGAATAGTATTAAAATTTCTAGCTAAAACTTTAACATCATTCAGCACTGCAGGCAAGACTTAGCCTTTTTATCTCTAGTTTTGTAAAGCATCAGTCTGTAAAGTTTATCTCATCATTCAGTCACTTGGTACTCCAAACATCTTGATGAATAAGTTAAAGATTCAATTAAATTTCAGTTTGGTTTGCCCATTCTATAGTTTGAAAGGTGTGTTCAAATCTGCAGATAAGAGGAACTTAAAATTGCAGAATCTATCATGCTGTCTCCCTGACCCCCTACTCCTTTAAAAAGTAGACTCCTCTCTTCATTATAATTCCATAACATCACTTCAAGGTCTTGTAAGATGAATTATAATGCAAGTTATGACAGTGAGGTCGGATTATTGATGTCATTAGCACTAATATAAAACTGAAAGACATAATAGGTTACCTGTAAATTACACATGAAAAAAGCAACATCACAGTTATTTTCCTATTACATACCATATACTTGACTCATTACATTAACTCCATAGCAGAGAAGAATGTGCTATCTTTTCTCCATTTCAGTACATTTGTGGAACACCATGATTGTGGGCCGTGTTAAAGATAACCTGACTAAGTTGAAGACCATCTTTTCTCCTTTGTGTTTGGCTTGTTTCTAAGTTAGCATATCTTCTATGCAAGAACTATAGGCTTGCAAGCACTAATCTCTGCTTTTGGTTTGACACATTCCCCTTCCTTTTGACCATGTTTTGCAACTTGCATTTCAAAGCATTCAAACATATGCTCTAATTCAACAATTTCTTCTTGGATATCTGCCGATGGCACACTTTCTGAGGCAATTCGTTCTTTAAAGCTGTGGATTCGGGCAAGTCCAGCTCCAACTTTTGCTGTCATTTCCTCCATGGTTGCATGCATCGCCATGTTTTCCGCTTGTGCATCCTTCCATTTCCTCTTAATGGATCTATAACCATCCAACGACTTTAGTAGTTGCTCTGAAAGTGCCTTATTTCTCTCTTGGAGGGCAATGTTTCCTTGCGTTTCTCCTCCACCACTGCTACTATACCTCCTTTCTTTTTGCTCGGTGGCACATCCGTGTAACCTTTCCACTAAACTCTCATTTTGTTCTTTTAGATCATTGATGAGGTCCTCCATTTCATTCAACTCGTGGACCTTTTTCGACAGCTCTGATGCCATAATCTCTTTTTCTTTCCCTAAGCTTGAACACATGGCCTCAAGGCTCTTTCGTGCTACCAAGCTCGCGTTTAGCTGCTTCCGTAGTTTTTCTTTCTCATCAATCATCGGCTCATGGTGTTTCTTATCTATTGGAACATGACTAGTAACCTTAAGATCCGTATTACATCGACTTAATTCAGCTTCTGATGATGACTTGTTACCAAATGATTGACATTTTTGAATTCTTGTCCTAACATTATCAAGAATGGCCATCATGGTTGCCACCCTCAACATTCTCCGGCCATCGTTCTTCTCTTTGTTACAAGCATTTTTGTGCTCTTGAGTCAACTTTAACAATAACTTTATGTTGGCTGCAACCCCTGAAAATACACAAAATCCGAAAAAATTAAATTAAAAAAAAACGACTATCTCATAAAACTTTGATCAATAAATACAATGCTGCAATAGTTGAGTACAAAAAAATTGTAAAAATAAAAAGAAATTGTTGCAGCTTGGTGCACAAAGTATAAAAATTCAAGATAAAAGTCCTAACGTTAAAAAAACCATACTTCCTCTTCACTGAATCTTATGGAAAAAAGGGCAGCCCGGTGACATTCAAGCAGGGAAAGGCCGCACCCAAAGGGGTGTGATATAGACAACCTATTCTAATGCAAATATTAGTTGCTGCTTACACGATTCAAACCCATGGCCTATGGATCATACGGAGACAACTTTATCGTTGATGGGTCATTGAATTGAATCTTATGATCACCCATAAATACTTTTTAAAAGGTCAAGAACAACAAAGAAACCAAACAGGAGCAAGAAAAGAAAAAAAAGGAAAGTCATTACCTTCTAAAGCTGAATCATCATAGAATTGTTCTGATGGTAAATTAGCAACTAAATCAGGAGACGAATTTACGCGAAATCTACTCATGATTAATAACTCAAGAAAATGTAGAGAAAATTCTTCGAGAATGATAGAGGAGGAATGAGGTATATGGAAAATTATAACGAAGGCAATGCTGAATTTAGAAGAAAAGGGTACTTTCTAAACTATTTTTTCTTTCTTTTTGAGGGGTCAGATTGTACTAATTAGATATTAAAAAAAATTGATATGATTTTGAGAGATCCAAAAAAGAGAGTTTGCTTTGCAAACCCTCTTTCTGTTTCTCTTCTTTTCCTTCTATTCTCTCATTATTATCTGAGAAGTTTTATAACTTTATTAAGCACTTTGAGAAAAAAACAAAAAAGGAATTATTTTCAAGTTGTCTTATTCCTCTATTTTTTTTATAATATTCAATGTTTTTGTTGGATGTTAGCTCATCAGATAGATTGGTTGGCTCATGGCAGTTATTTTTGCGCAATTATTGGCAATTAATTGACTTATTGATTGGCTGATAGCTGTTATTGACTTTTTTAGACAGAACAGTTGGCTTCATGTGATGAGTTCATACCTATTCACTTATTAATATGCTCATTTGCCCATAGTTTTTATAATGCATATGTGTGTGATATCGTGTATAGCGTATTTCATAGAAAATAGGACAAATTACATCAATACTCTATCTAGAATGCAAAACTNATATATAATTTTCCTAAAACCACCCGTGAGTAGAGGCGGATTTAGAATTTCTAAAATGTGGGTGCACCACTAAAAAAAACGAGAAGAAAGTACTAAATATGAATAGTTCCATGTTACTTTGGATAAATAAGCCAGCATTCAACCAAGTGCACAATTAAACCTTTTTGGAGCATAAGAACCAACAAATAATATTTTTTTTACGAAATATATACATAAATGACCTAATTTGACAAAAAGATCATATGTTCACGTGCACCGTAAACATGGCCTAAATCCGCCCCTGCTCATGAGTAAATGTCCAGCATTAGAGTGGCTCACATTGGTTGAAAAAATTACTGGGATAAATTATTTGTTCATGAGTTAACTTTTGATGTTAACTTATGTTCAAGATACGCTTTTTCAATATGATATCAAAGCTAGATCCATCATTATTTTTGGTTTACTCAATATTAAGTTCCATGTCACGTTCTCCACACTTTAAATGTTCGCCCTGCATGAGTGTTAAAGTATTTCATGTTAGTGAAATTCTTAATTTTTTTTTTGGTAATAGGGAAAATTTGTAGCCGCTGCAACCTCTGTCACAATCTCTGCCCTTCGGTTGAGCACTTTGTGCGCACTAGGTAAACTTGTAATAACCTGAAAACAAAGAAATTCTTAAACTTAATGGAAGAATTTCTGATGAATTAGTGGCTGAGTCGGTACTGTTCTCTCCGTTTCCATCTAGTCGTCAGGATAAGGTTTTACATACCTATTAAAATTTTTTTGATAAGAAGAGTAGTTTGACTAATCTATCTCTTATTAATTCTTTGATTTTTGTCTACTTACATGCCCCTTAATTCTATAGCGATTAATGTTAAGAGTAAAGTTGGAAAAAACAATTAATTCTTTATTAATTTTATAAATGATAAATATTTGAGAACAATTATTTAGTATATGTGATAACTAAATAGGAGCGAAAGGAGCATAATTAGCTCACTATAAAATATCTATACTGTCCGATCCCTATGCATGGAAGAATTGAATCGAACTATACATAGTATCTGCACACTGCATTAAATGAGCCCATAAAGAAAGGGGTAGATGATCAAAGAGAGGATTTAATTATTTTCTTATCTGAAGATGAAGTCTTACATTTTACAGTTGACGCTTATTAAATTCCTCCTGTTCATAAATCATACATACTCCTATTCGCCTAAAAATTAGTAATAAATAAATTGCAGTACAAGAATCAAATAATCTAATCTTCGTTGCAAATTTGAATGTAGCTAAAACTCGTACATTGTACAAACTACTATAAAGCATAAATCGAGTATTGAAGTTACTTGAAAATTCACAGAGAATAATTACCTTGTTCTTAAATTAATTATTGTGCCATATTCGCCAAATGCGATAGATAGGGAATATGTTTTCTTTTTATTAGTCTAGATGTCTAGAGATGTTGATAATAGGAAATTTTACCACCTATAGCAAAGGTATGCACCCTATTTATTATAAATCAAAATTATTTTAAAATATTATTTTCTATAGCTACCTTTTATATTTTATAGCAAAATAAGTATTTATGGTATATACTACCATTGAGGCATGAAATAAAGCATGTAATACGCTATATGTTTTTTCTATTTCTTAGACAGCTGGACATACCTATTTTTAAGGTGATTGCCGTTACTGTATTCATGAATATATGACGCGAATCAGTGTTTTAAAAGGCGTGGGCGTAAGGCGAGGCGTTTTACATATGCCTCAGCGGGGCGTAAGCCCCATAGGTATTTAATTTTTAATATTTTATAAAATAATATAATGACAGTAAATATTTATAAACATATAAAATTAAATAAAAATTGAAGAAAACTATATACATGTGTGCTCCATCCCCACAAAAAACTAATCAAAATAATCTATTATACGTTACTTACAAGCACAAGTAATTTGAATCTAAAAGAATAAAGTTTTCTATATGGAGGAACAAAAAGGATGATTAACTTGCAATTTGAACTTTGAATTTGCTGCTATGAAGAGGAATGTAGTTCTCTTTGTATTTGTAAAAAAAATTAAATATTCGTTGCTTTTGGGAGATATTAGCAGACTAGCGGACAAGATAAAAAATTAAAAAAATCATGAATTAGGGCTTAAATCAATAAAAATGGTCTTTACTTTTAAATTTAATACTTTTGAGTTCCCTTTTAAACCTTTTGAGTAATTACCAAATTGACTTTTGAGAATTTGGGTATTATATGAAGGACTAATTCAATAAATTTTGTTTTAATTTGAAAAAGTCTCTCGGGCTTACTCCTTACTAAAAAACGCACCTCGAACGCCCGAGCATACGCCCTGAACGCCCGGGCGTATGCCTCTTGAGACTTTCGCCCCACACCATTGCCCTGGGGCATTTTTTGTACGCCTCGCCCCGGAGCTCGCCCTAGAAACGCCTTTTAAAACAGAGGCGCGAATACATGCGCATACAACTGGACTGCCCTGATTTTAGGTATTTTTTACTGCTGTATTCATGAATATAGCAACGCGAATACATGTGAATACATGCGCGTACAGGTGGACTGCCTGATTTTAGGCACTTTTTTCTGTTGTATTCATGAATACATGGCGCGAATACATGTGCGTATAGCTGGACGACCCTGATTTTAGGCGCTTTTTACTGTTGTATTCATGAATACAACAACGCGAATACATGTGAATACATGCGCGTACAACTGGACTGCCTGATTTTAGGCATTTTTTGCTGTTGTATTCATGAATACATGGCGCGAATACATGTGAATACATGCGCGTACATCTGGACTACCCTGATTTTTAGGCCTTTTTTGCTACCGTAACAACTGAATAGTAGCTATAGGAAGTAATTATGTATATGATAGCTATAGGAAGTTAATAGCCACTAAACAATAGTGGTTTCTGATAATTCCTCTTGATAATATGAGTTTGAGCTTAAATGAAAAGTGAGAATTCCTAATTTATTTGGGACTATAGCGTAATAACTATGGTTATTCTTAGAATTGTTTTAAGGAAACAAATATTTATTAACCATGTCAAAATAGAGTTACATCCGGGAAATATCACTGTTATCTAAATGAGAAGCATCAAAACAAAGAATAAAAGTTAAACATGAAGGATAAGAATCCTAAATTACACGAATTGCATACGATAAAGCTACTCTAGCAAGAGAGTGATCCGCTTTATTAGCATCCCACCCAGTCCGGAAGGACAAATCATGAAATAAATTCTTCAAAGACAAACAATCCCCAATAATGATACTAAATTCAGACAAATTAGTTACAATTCAAAGAGCATTGAGTTGTTTACCCGTAAAACGGTATAATTAAATTTATTACGCGATTTATAGATAAATGAACTGATTTGATCCAAAAATAATAAATAAATAAGATTAGAAATAAGACTTAGCGGTTAAAATCAAAGAAAATGGCAAGCTCGGCTCCGGGAGTGATTCCTCCGAGGACAGAAATAAGAACAATGTAAGACCCCGTAAAATTTCGCCAAGAAATTTAAAATTTCGTGGTGCCGAGGTAGGATTATGTGTTTGAGGATTGTAGAAGCGGTACATACTTTTTGGTTTGAAGAATGCATTGAGGTGTTGGTGGGAAACTTTTGCTGAAGGGCCAATTATGTGGTCAGATTCACGACCGCAGATCCATTCTGCGGGCCGTATACCCGTCGCAGAGTTGAGCAGAAAAACGGTTGAATTTTGAGGGTTGTTTCGTGGTCCATTGTGCGATCGCATACCTGTTTCGCGGTCCGCACTTCTGTCGCAGAGTTAGCATAAGGAATTTCATTGGGCGATTCTGCGGTCCACTCTGCGGCCGCATAAGTGGTCTGCGGACCGCAACCTTGTCGCAGACCGGTCCAGACCAGCACAGTTCTTGGCATTAGTTTTGCGGCCCATTTTGCGGACCGCATATCTGTTATGCGGTCCATTCTGTGACTGCAGACCTGAGTTCGGAGGGTCCATTTTTTTATTTTTATAACCCGATCTCATTTTGATAAATAGCCTTAGGGGCTCATTTTGAAGCAAATGTCTGATGATTTTAGAGAGAGGTAAGAGTATTTTAGAGAGAGAAGGAGGAAGCCTAGCATTCTAATCACCCATTCTTGCACCAATCTTCAAGAATCAATAAAGCCAATCACTAGATTATCATCTATCCGGGTAAGTTCTACTCCTAAGCTTTCATGCAAAAAGTTATGAGTTCAAGTATATCGTGGGGGTTGGAAATAGGCCATGCATGTGATAATAGGTTGTAGTATGTGGGATTAATGAACCATTTTGGTTAGTTTCTTGTTGAAATTGGTTGAGGGAGGAAGGTATTACCATTATAGAGCTTTATAGTATATTTTTCATACTAGGTGTTTGACAAAATTCCTAAGAGAGTTACACCATGTGAATCCTTCTAATTATTATCTGATTTTCGCCATCTTCCTGTAGATTGTTATTGCTAGAAGTGTTGGGACGTTGCAGTAACTTAAGGAAAGATCAAACAAGGTATGTTGGCTAAACTACTCTCTTAGAATTGAATTCCATGATGTTGCCATAAGTTTCAAGTATGGTTGGCTCAAGTTCCTTATTTCCATGTTCTGAGT